ACTGCTAGAGAAGTATGTAAGCTTATGCAGGAGCTTGAATTAAAGAACTAGAATAAACTTAGGTCTTCTCCTCCACTAGTTCAATTTCAAGTCCATGACATTGTCTAGGATAGTAAACAAATGACTTCGTTTCACGTATTTCGCGTGCGAAAATGTCTTTGAATTCCTTCTACCATCAGTATGTCTGATAAGCGTTTGTTGGAAAATAAGAATAAACAGTATTCAGTAATGGGTCTTACTTGTAAAAAGTTATTTCATATTCTCTATGAAGGAAGTTACGAGAAATGAAACCTAACATCTTTCTCATTTAGGGAACTTTGTTGAGAATATGTTCAGAGAAGTTTAGGATGTACGAGTAATTCACTCCTAGATTGGTTATTGATGTAATTTTAGGCAGTACCTTTCTGCTGAGAGTGAGATTTATTTCGGCACACATCTCCAGAATAAAGCCATCCAAATTTCTCAACATTTAGTTTTAAGTTTCAACGCTTACACTAATTATCTACATTATTGAGTTCATACTGGATCGTTTGCATTAAATATCCCCCATTACGTTTGTTATTTTTAGAAATGTGCCAATAATAAGTAAGTGATGGCCAGTGATGTCAGTGACTGCCCTACTTGTACATCATTGGATGGCATTGAAAAGAAACAATAAATTTCGATCACGTCGACAACACAAGTTGACCTTTAAAGTTTTACTCATATTAATATATTTAGACAAACAGAGACACGAGTGCAACTAAAAAAACGTTGAAATATTTGTCAGATAAAACACTAAGATAGCCAGAGAATTAATATAAGCTTCAAACTTCAAACGAATATCAGAAAATGAGGAAAAGGACCTGCTATATTAAGGTCAGTGATCGGTTTAACAGAAAAATATCGAAATTAACACACTAATATAAAAATGAGAGAAAGTACTGTATTTTCGCATGATGGCGAAAACCATTAATATTTCGTGTCATTAAACAGTACGCAGAACAACGATTTCTAGGATATTTTATATAAAATCGTTATTCTGTACACAACCTGAGAAACCGTTGAAAAATTCTGAAGCAGGTCGAACCTCCACAGTTAAACAAGCCGCAAAGATTAGGATAAGTCACTTGCTGATCAATCATTACCCTGCTTAAAAAGTAACTATGATGTTTGTTTAAATCTCTCTTCGCCCAAACTAGCGCGCTTTCTAAATGAGATGTCTGGAGTGAGGCTAGATAATACTGACATTTTTGAACGTGTTGGAGCCGAACAGTATGGAAGACCTGGTGAAGAAACTGGTCCATTAGATACTAAGGAGAATGCTCCACACTATACAATCCAAGGCGTACTACACTTTTTGCAAACTGAATGGAATCGTTTGGAAATGCAACGCTCCCAGTGGGAGGTTGAGCGAGCTGAATTGCAGGTAAATAATGTTTTATTATCTACTTGATTTCATCAGGTTTGAAATTTTGTTAACCTTGTTGAATAAGTTTGGTGTTTTAGAGCTCATAGTGTTTTATGCTGTGATACAAGCCAAAGTATCAAGAGTTCTCCAAAGAGTCTACTTGTTAGTGCACAACAATCAATCGGTTTAGATATTAAGTATTTTTAAAAGCTTATCGAGTGTTATCCTAGAGTATGGAGATGTTTATCATTTATTACAGTTTGAATATAATGCAAGGTATTGATCGGCTTTCAGTTATGCTCGTTTGAAAGCATCTTTGTTCCATAACCGTTTAAATGATAATCATTAGTCTCACTCTCAAACGTACCAATTAATTGATTATCCTACCGGTGATAGTTGACGCAGGAGTTGGCGTTAGCTATGTAAGCGTTATCAGTCATGTAAGGATTACTGAACGTACCTTCATTTTTCTTACTGCCAACACCCTTATAAGTATGGTATTACATTGTTAGTTTTTAGTTAAGTTGAAAAAGCTGAGATGAATCTAGTTTGGTTCTGTCTCAATGTTTCTGGTCCATCTGATCCTGAAATAAAGCTCATTCTATTCACGTTCCCAAACTCTGCCATTGAAAGACGCTTAGTAACACCAATGCTTTCGTTCCCTAACTTTCTATAAATTCTAGTTAAATTTTGTCTAATTTTTGCCACATGATATCATTTGTTCCCTCTAAAGTGTTCCACGATTGCATTTGCTCCCTGTTACTTCACATAACTTGTCTTTTTTTCCACCTTGTTTTTTTCGTACCATGCTTCATTATATATAACTTAATTTCATAAATTTTGCCTAAAGTTTATGAACATTAATTTGTTCTTCTTTATTACAATGGTAGGCGCGAATAGCATTCCTCCAAGGGGAGCGTCGTGGGCAAGAAAATCTGAAGCAGGATTTAGTTCGACGAATTAAAATGTTAGAATACGGTTTGAAACAGGAACGTGTCAAATTTCATCAATACAAAGCTTCTGTTTCTTCTGGCAATTCACCCAATGCCATCAAACAAGCTGATAATGAGGATTCTAGCACCAGAAATGAACTAACTGTTGTAAAGCCAGTGCTGGAACCAGCGGAAAAACTGGCTGTATGTACTGAGCAGACTCTCGAAAGCAATGTGAAATGGCGAGAGAGTCGATTACGTCTCAAACAGTAAGTTAGCTAATATTTGAAGTCAAATTTTTCTGCATCACAGCTATTTATTACAATGGTACAGTAATACACACTAAACATCTGGTCGTTGATTGCTTTTATTTTTGTTGGGGACATTGTACACACGATTTGTTAAAATCAAACTTAATGTTCAGTGTTTACAGTTTCCCCATTTACCAAACACGCCCTAAATGATGGTTAGTAATATTATGTTGTTACCTACACCGCAGTTGGTGTGTGGGATCTGAACCCGCTACCCAGTGGTCGAAAATCGAGTTCCGTAATCATACTACTCCATTTTGCAGTCTATCTTTTTTATCAACAATCCAACAGAAGTAAGGTGAGAAAATATGAATAGAAATTTTTCGTATTTCATTAGCTTTTGGTGCTGACATCTGCATACTTTACTCCCACATTGCTGTCTCTACTTATTCTCTGATCGATTTCTGTTTGTTCCTGCTAACTTTTAGTTTATCTATGTTCGATTTTTCACAAAACCTAGGTTCCTTCAGGAGGTTGGTTATGCAGATGCTGTCCTCAGTGTACGTGAAGCACGTGTACGCCAATTGTTGCTGTCGGCTGCAGGGTGGCCTAATGAACCTGATTCTTCTCTCACTGCCACGGATCCAAAAAATAAACACTATCTTTGGGAATCTGATAAGCTCAAATCAAAACTCAATGATAATGCTAAGTGAGTTACGGATTTTCAGATTATGGTAATTAAGATTTTTATCAACGAATAATCTTTCCACTTCGCTTCGTTTTAAGTGCGTAATAACCGGCTCAACTTTAGTCTCAAGAACAACCTCAGCAATATGTTCAAATTGCGATAGGATCATTGACAACTGTTATACTTCCTTACACATAATAGTAGTGTAATATAGTTCATTTATCCTATACTAGATTATTTATTCAGGTTTAAGCCAATAATACTATCCACCTGCATAAAACAACCTAGGTGAATCAGTGTTTTTTATCCTCAACCCATTGCTTGGAAGCTTGGACGTTCCTTAAAACTTCATGTGATGTCCTTAAATTAACATTTTTTCTTTTTGTTAAAAACACTCCTTTTGTGATGCTGTAATTCAACTTGTTTACTGTATACCCCCCACCTTGGTTTTCATAATTACTCCTGTTTATATTAGTCTAGACCATAAAGTTTGATTATTATTTATTCACCTGAGATTTACTAACTCATGAAGTCAACAAGTTCTTAATGTTTTTCTTTTGTTTTCATGATACATTTTATTATTATTATCATAGTTATGATACCAGTCTTCAAGATGAACTTGCCGAAGATGCTATTGCAAAAATAAATCAAGTTGTACGCTCAGGCTCAGATTTTCTCACATCTGACGATTTAAGTTCTGGATTTTGTAACGAGTTGACTGATCAGTCTACCGAACCGGATACAACTGGCAATTCTAGTAATGATAATTCAGAATCGTTTGATAATGCGAATTGGGTGAACCGGTTCCGGATCAGTCAACTCGTTACAAAATCCAGAACTCAAATCATCTGATGTCAAAAAATCTGAGCCTGAGCGTACAACTTGATTTATTTTTGCAATAGCATCCTTCGGCAAGTTCATCTTGAAGACTGGTATCATAACTATGATAATAATAAAACATTACGAACTTGTTGACTTCATGAGTTAGTAAATGTCAGGTGAATAAATAATAATAAAATAGATTGATATAAACAGGAGTAATTATGAAAACCGAGGGGGTATACAGTAAACAAGTTGAATTACAGCATCACAAAAGGACTGTTTTTAACAGAAAAAATAATGTCAATTTAAGGACATCACATGAAGTCTTAAGGAACTTCCAAGCTTCCAAGCAATGGGTTGAGGATAAGAACACTGTTCACCTAAGTTGTTTTACGGAGGTGGATAGTATTATTGGCTTAAACCTGAATAAATAAACTAGTATAGGATAAATGAACTATATCACACTACTATTATGTGTAAGGAAGTATAACAGTTGTCCATGAATCCTATCGCAATTTGAACATATTGCTGAGGTTGTTCTTGAGACTAAAGTTGAGCCGGTTATTACGCACTTAAAACGAAGTGAAGTAGAACGATTATTCGTTGATAAAAATCTTAATTACCATAATTTACAAATCCGTAACTCACTTAGCATTATCATTGAGTTTTGATTTGAGCTTATCAGATTCCCAAAGATAGTGTTTATTTTTTGGATCCGTGGCAGTGAGAGAAGAATCAGGTTCATTAGGCCATCCTGCAGCCGATAGCAACAATTGGCGTACACGTGCTTCACGTACACTGAGGACAGCATCTGCATAACCAACCTCCTGAAGGAACCTAGGTTTTGTGAAAAATCGAACATAGATAAACTAAAAGTTAGCAGGAACAAACAGATAATCGATCAGAGAATAAGTAGAGACAGCAATGTAGGAGTAAAGTATGCAGATGTCAGCACGAAAGCTAATGAAATACGAAAAATTTCTATTCATATTTTCTCACCTTACTTCTGTTGGATTGTTGATAAAAAGGAGTAGTGAGTATGATTACGGAACTCGATTTTCGACCACTGGGTAGCGGGTTCAGATCCCACAAACCAACTGCGGTGTAGGTAACAACATAGTATTACTAACCATCATTTAGGGCGTGTTTGGTAAATGGGGAAACTGTAAACACTGAACATAAGTTTGATTTCAACAAATTGTGTGTACAATGTCCCCAACAAAAATAAAAGCAATCAACGACCAGATGTTTAGTGTGTATTACTGTACTATTGTAATAAATAGCTGTGATGCAGAAAAATTTGACTTCAAATATTAGCTAACTTACTGTTTGAGACGTAATCGACTCTCTCGCCATTTCACATTGCTTTCGAGAGTCTGCTCAGTACATACAGCCAGTTTTTCCGCTGGTTCCAGCACTGGCTTTACAACAGTTAGTTCATTTCTGGTGCTAGAATCCTCATTATCAGCTTGTTTGATGGCATTGGGTGAATTGCCAGAAGAAACAGAAGCTTTGTATTGATGAAATTTGACACGTTCCTGTTTCAAACCGTATTCTAACATTTTAATTCGTCGAACTAAATCCTGCTTCAGATTTTCTTGCCCACGACGCTCCCCTTGGAGGAATGCTATTCGCGCCTACCATTGTAATAAAGAAGAACAAATTAATGTTCATAAACTTCAGGCAAAATTTATGAAATTAAGTTATATATAATGAAGCATGGTACGAAAAAAACATGTTTAAGTCCTTGCACTGACATAAGGTGAAAAAAAGACGTTATGTGAAGTAACAGGGAGCAAATGCAATCGTGGAATACTTTACAGGAACAAATGAGATCATGTGGCAAAAATTAGACAAAATTTAACTAGAATTTATAGAAAGTTAGGGAACGAAAGCATTGGTGTTACTAAGCGTCTTTCAATGGCAGAGTTTGGGAACGTGAATAGAATGAGCTTTATTTCAGGATCAGATGGACCAGAAACATTGAGACAGAACCAAAATAGATTCATCTCAGCTTTTTCAACTTAACTAAAAACTAACAATGTATACTATACTTATAAGGGTGTTGGCAGTAAGAAAAATGAAGGAACGTTCAGTAATCCTTACATGACTGATCACGCTTACATAGCTAACGCAAACTCCTGCGTCAACTATCACCGGTAGGATAATCAATTAATTGGTACGTTTGAGACTGAGACTAATGATTATCATTTAAACGGTTATGGAACAAAGATGCTCTCAAACGAGCATAACTGAAAGTCAATCAATACCTTGTATTATATTCAACTGTAATAAATGATAAACATCTCCATACTCTAAGATAACACTCGATAAGCTTTTAAAAATACTTAATATCTAAACCGATTGATTGTTGTGCACTAACAAGTAGACTCTTTGGAGAACTCTTGATACTTTGGCTTGAATCACAGCATAAAACACTATGAGCTCTAAAACACCAAACTTATTCAATAAGGTTAACAAAATTTCAAACCTGATGAAATCAAGTAGATAATAAAACCTTATTTACCTGCAATTCAGCTCGCTCAACCTCCCACTGAGAGCGTTGCATTTCCAAACGATTCCATTCAGTTTGCAAAAAGTGTAGTACGCCTTGGATTGTATAGTGTGGAGCATTCTCCTTAGTATCTAATGGACCAGTTTCTTCACCAGGTCTTCCATACTGTTCGGCTCCAACACGTTCAAAAATGTCAGTATTATCTAGCCTCACTCCAGACATCTCATTTAGAAAGCGCGCTAGTTTGGGCGGAGAGAGATTTAAACAAACATCATAGTTACTTTTTAAGCAGGGTAATGATTGATCAGCAAGTGACTTATCCTAATCTTTGCGGCTGTTTAACTGTGGAGATTCGACCTAATTCAGAATTTGTCAACGGTTTCTCAGGTTGTGTACAGAATAACGATTTTATATAAAATATCCTAGAAATCGTTGTTCGATGTACTGTTTAATGACACGAAATATTAATGGTTTTCGCCATCATGCAAAAATACAGTATTTCTCTCATTTTTATATTAGTGTGTTAATTTCGATATTTTTCTGTTAAACCGATCACTGACCTTAATATAGCAGGTCCTTTTCCTCATTTTCTGATATTTGTTGAAGTTTGAAGCTTATATTAATTCTCTGGCTATCTTAGTGTTTTATCTGAAAATATTTCAACGTTTTATTAGTTGCACTCGTGTCTGTGTTTGTCTAAATATATTAATATGAGTAAAACTTTAGAGGTCAACTTGTGTTGTGGACGTGATCGAAATTTATTGTTTCTTTTCAATGCCATCCAATCATGTACAAGTAGTGCAGTCACTCACATCACTGGCCATCACTTACTTATTATAGGCACATTTCTAAAAATACCAAACGTAAGGGGGGATATTTAATGCAAACGATCCAGTATGAACTCAATAATGTAGATAATTAGTGTAAGCGTTGAAACTTAAAACTAAATGTTGAGAAATTTGGCTGGCTTTATTCTGGAGATGTCTGCCGAAATAAATCTCACTCTCAGCAGAAAGGTACTGCCTAAAATTACATCAATAACCAATCTAGGAGTGAATTACTCGTACATCCTAAACTTCTCTGAACATATTCTCAACAAAGTTCCCTAAATGAGAAAGATGTTAGGTTTCATTTCTCGTAACTTCCTTCATAGAGAATACGAAATAATTTTTACAAGTAAGACCCATTACTGAATACTGTTTATTCTTATTTTCCAACAAACGCTTATCAGACATACTGATGGTAGAAGGAATTCAAAGACATTTTCGCACGCGAAATACGTGAAACGAACTCATTTGTTTACTATCCTAGACAATGTCACGGACTTGAAATTGAACTAATGGAGGAGAAGGCCTAAGTTATTCTAGTTCTTTAATTCAAGCTCCTGCATAATCTTACATAATTCTCTAGCAGT